TTCAAATTATTTTCAATGCAATGATATTTAGGGAAAGAGTATCTCCAGAATAACCAAAAAAAACATTCTATACAAATGAAAGAATAGATATGCATCAAGTAACAGATCAAGAATATTACTTCTCCAAAGGATGCAACTATTTTGCGTTCAAAAAACTTTCAAAAAAAAAACTGCTGAATTTCAACTGCTCTAAAAGCGAAACATTTTTACTGCAGTTTCATCTGCACCATACAAACCTATGATATCATTATTTCGGATAGAAAAACTTGAATTCCATTGGCACGTTTACTCTGTCTCATAGATTTGTACATGGACTTGTACTGCAATAATTCTAACATTTGCAGTAAGCAGTAATCAACATCGAATGCACAAACCGATTTCGCTCTTTCTTTGTTGTATTTGTACTCCTTCTTCTGAGCGTTTGAGAATGCTTTCAATTCGTTTTCTTGTTGTGATGTTAATTGTCTTCGCATCTTCTTCTCCATGTCGTCGAATTCACGCGACTTAAAACAAATACATTTTGCAGTCACAAATTATGATCGATGGCAATACTGACTAATATAATTTGTAGCATCGTTAACAGCGCGGGCAATAATAATAACAGCAATAATAAACAAGCAAGGAAAGAGAATAAGTACCTTTTTATCCTTTTCAGCATTTTGACTGTTCCGAACCCTTTGCAATTCTTTACTAAAATTATTGATCAGCTGTTCATATTCCTTATCTGTTTTCTGCTTCAACATCTCCATTTCTACCGCACATCGCTCTTCCAACTAGAATCCGCTTCAAATTATCAACACAACAACAAATGCCCCATTTAATGTTTTGAATTAAGCACTGAAGTCAAGGGACTGCTCATAGTGAGGGAAAAGTTTTGATATTACCCTACCAATATTGCATTAAGCCGATCTATCTCCTGCCTAGTTCAATTTTGTCTAATTCGAAAGATTCATCAATTTCTACTTGCTGGGATGGAACCCGCCTTCTCCCTCTCTTGCCCTGTTCTAAAATGAAGGCAATCCGAAACTAAATTCACTAGATAAGGAGATCAAAAACGGAATTTCAAAATCAAAATTAATTCGAAAGCAGTAGCTAGAATGGATGTTCACTCAGAAACGAACCTGTTTCAGTTCTTTTCGATGCTGCTGTCTCAATCGTTTATAACCACTCATTTGCTCGTAAATATTATTCTCCCGATTGTGTTCTTCCATCTCTTTCGAAATCAGCTTTGTAGTACGCAACGTTGAGAATCTACTACGACGTAACGTTGCCATCTCATCCTAAAACACCAAACAGAATATTTCATCGCCACCAAAAGCGAATCAAAATCAAACACAGCGAAAACTATGATCTGACGATGCACCACGACATAAATGATCCTATTCAAAGCAAACAGTGGCTTTTGTTGCATGGAAGCAAAAACTGAAAGAGAATTACAGATATATTTTTTAAAAAAATGGTCACGAGGTGAAATTTAAACAATAATAATAACTGCTATTTTGGACGATCATAAAATAATAAAGACTTCCGATGAGCCAACTCCCAAAAATTCAGTAGAACAGCTCCATTATACTTCTCGAAAATACAAGAGTACTTACATTGATTGGTCGATGAATACTCTCTTGAGCAGATACGGACGCACCAGCAGGAGCTGATGGAGGGACGTCGTTGACTAGAGACGAATCACTGCGATGCGATGACACACCCGAATGCTGCGATCCTTCATCGCCGACTCGAATTATGGTTCGATTCTGAAACTGATTCATATCAACTGTTTTGGATTCGATTTCTATCAACCTTCTTGATACGATGAGATGATAATCTTACATCTAATATGTTTATGAAAAGAGGCCAGCTACACACTCACATAAATCATAATCTAAGTCAACCGCTCATTCTGACTGCGGTTTATCATGAGGTTTAGGCTGACACTTAACGTGTGTGTGACTCAGTCTACATTGGAGCTTTAACTGCTCATTCATAGTTCACACATAGCAGCGGTTCCTTTCATAAATAAGTTAACTACAAAATTATCCGA